TTTCTGTTATTTAAGAAGAAAAATTCTGCCTTGCCACTGGAGCTAATCCTGCTCCTCTCTTCTATTACATGGGTGTTTCTTGCTGTGCCTGCCCTGGTGCTGTGAATCTCCTTGTCCCTGGGCTGGATGTTGTGGGTAATCCCTCCCTAATTCTTCCCCATCATGTCAGTGAGGCCTCCTGGATATCCTATTTCCCAGTGCCAGACTGGAAATGTTCTTCTTGCTGATAGAAGGCATGGAGATCATCATTTATGCAGTGCTGACCTGGCCATCAGGACGTGTTCTGATCTGGGTTTTGCTAGCTGCTTCACCTCTCTCTTCAACCCCAGCAGGACTGCTTTTCCGTGGAAGGGGAGGACCTGAAGCATGACTTTGAGCGGTTGCAACTGGCCATGGAGATGGTGGGCTTCCTTCCCAAGACTCGAAGGCAGTGAGTTTATTTTCCATATTAATGGGAATTTATTATTTTATTAATTATTTATTAATCCTCACATTAATTAGGGTGCAGCGAGAGAGTTTTTAATTGATGGAGTAAAGCCCTCAGGAAGAGGACTGAGGAGAGCTGGATGCCACAGTAAATTCACACTTTTGATTTACTGTGCAATGCCTTCTCTTGGCACACGACTTCTTGTCTTTCTCCTCATGAATTCTGCTTGTCAAAATAATACAGTGGGTTCTTTGCTAGACCAGCAAATTCATTCTGCTTGGCACTGTTAACACGAATAAGCCACCACCTTCAGCTGAGCATACAGAGGATGGACGTTTTAAGCATTACTTTACTTTTCTAAGTGATTATAGCGCAACATGAGGACTCACCTCTGTGCAAAGAGTTACAGGATAGAAAGTTTTTACAATTGCAGCCCTGTAATTCAAGATCAGGAATCAAGATCCCTGTTTTAGAGGTGGGGCTGGACCAGCTTGGAGTGGTGAAGGCGCATGGCTGAGTTTGGCCTCCCTCTTAATTTAGGCAATTCCACGATAGATATTTCATCTGGCTGTCTAGATTACTCAAAGATTCCTTTTCTTCTTATGATACAGGGTGCCATTTCATAACCTAGTTTTTGATACGTTAAATAATGTTCAAGAAAGTCATAGCAAGGCAAGTTTAGTATTTGACTAAGTGAAAATATGAGGCAAATCAGATGTTTTGCTTGAGCATCGTTTTTGAGAAAACATTTGGAGATGTCTGATAGAAACTGCTTTGGCTTGAAAATTAGAGGAATGAGTCAAATGTAAAGATGGCACTTGTGTGTTTGGGGATGGGGTTTGCTCTTTCATGAGCTGTAAGAAAAAGCTACTGGGTGAAAATGAGTTCTTTCTGTTTTCTTTAGAATTTTCTCTCTCTTGTCGGCGATCCTGCACCTCGGTAACATCCGTTACAAAAAGAAGACTTACCGAGATGACTCCATTGATATTTGTAACCCTGAAATACTACCTATTGTGTCGGACCTGCTGGAGGTAAGCTTCCGCTTTCTATCCTCTAATGTTCACACCTAACCAGCCACCTCTGGTTTATGATACAATTTCTTTCCAGTTTCACTGAAGAACAAGTTCTCTGTTGTTCCCGTTTTATACATGCTGGTCATGTTTGCCAGTGAAAAGTTGTGAAGATATTTTCATAAGGTTTTTAATGTAGGGTTTTTTTACCCCCTACTCTTCAACTCCAGGTTTGACTGAAAATACTGTTTCCGTGATGAAAATCTGAAAGTTCATAGTGGAAAGCAAACCTGCCATTCAACACAGTAGTTTCTTCAGTCTCCAACCATCAGCTCCCTCACAAAAATTCCCTGACCCTCCTAAAACCTGTTCCAATATTTGTGTTAGAAATGAGAGGAGTTGTAAGACCATCAACCCACTCTTTTGCTTCAGGTGGTGGCTGTAGGAGATGCTGAGCTTGCTTGCCGTGTTCTGCTGGCTGTTCTTACCCTGCCAGCATCCACGAAGGTTGTCTTGGAGATGCTGGAGAGTGCATCTCATGGCTTTAGTACCTATGTATAGACCAAGACCATTTGGGAAGGGTTTGTAGATCTCAGCCCAGCTAGCCCAGGGCCATATCCAAAGCACTAGGTAAGTTTTTTGGAGAGATGCCAAGGTTTATTTTTGCTAATTTTATGGTGACATCAGAAGATAACTTGTCATTTTGTGTACACGTGATGCTCTTCCCATTCCTTCCCTTGAATAATGGTTGTGTTCTCTCACTACCTAAAGAACTTGGGAACTGGCGCTCTCAGATTTTCATAGCACTTCATTAATGCTTTGGATTTAGAGAGGAGAAAGCTTCTGTAAAATACGGGTATAAACAGCTGGATGCTCTTTGTGTCTTGGCCTTGGAGGTTACAGAAATAAACAGAAGGAAAATATGAGTTTGGAGGAGAATGTTGTTGATCTTAGCCTATAAAAAATGGCCGTGGCAAGAGCGCCAAGTTGTTGAAGAAATAAATGTTTTTTAAAAAAGCTTTGAATAAGAGAGTGCCTTAGAGATCTGAAAGAGTTCCAGGCTTTTGGGCTTTGCCCTGACTTTCTTCTGCAAACAAAATCTTCTGCAACATCTGCATGCTGGAAGGTTTCGGGTTAGTTTGTGTGCGTGTCTGTGTGAAATGCTGCATGGATTGAGCCCTGGAGATCCAGTGGTGGCCTGGTGCCATATTCTGGGACAGCACAGAGCAAGGAGGTTGGAGCCAGGTTGAGGGTCAGTCATTCTCCGAGGGAATAAGTGAAGGGATAAGAAGAAATGGCCTTAAGTTGCACCATGAGAGGTTTAGGTTGGACCTGAGGAACCTCACCAGGGTTGTCCAGGCCTAGCCCAGGCTGCCCAGGGCAGTGGTGGAGTCCCCATCGCTAGAGGGGTTTCCAAGCCGTGGAGATGTGGTGCTGAGGGACATGGGTCAGTGGGGACCTGTCAGTGCTGGGGCAACAGTTGGACTTGATGATATGAAAGGTCTTTTCCAACTAAAACGTCTCTATGATCGTTACAAAGAGCATCCATTGTACTTGGTTGGTTAATTAGCTACTTAAAACACTCCAAATGAAGTGTAGTGAAATTCTTCTCCACCAGAGACCAAAAGTATTGGTTGAAACATTTGGCACCTTGTATTTTGTCTCATTTGGATAATTGCTTTTATTACTACTCTTTTTTTGTTGTTGTTGTGGTCACTGAACACAGTGCAGCTTTGCTTTTCACGCTGTTGTTGCTGAAAATGCGAGTTGACTTGGAAAAGTTACTAATCCCCTCCCTAGATCTTGGCATTACTCACTAAGGCTGAAAAATCATCACAGAGTAAAAATAATATTAATTGACAAATAGTTCAACTTCTCATACAGCCACTGGGTGCTTGGCAAGACAGTCTTGAGCACAGCAAAATGATGGAAGAAACCAACTCTGCTGTGATCTGATAACTCTGGGAGGAGCAGCTGACATACCAAAGGCTGTGCTGCCACTCAGCAAGACCTGGACAGGTTGGAGAGTTGGGCAGAGAGGAACATCATGAAGTTCAGCAAGGGCAAGTGTAGGTCCTGCACCTGGGGAGGAATAGTCCTCTGCACCAGTGCAGGTGAGGGGTTGACCTGCTGGGAAGAGCTCCATGGAGAAGGAAGAGTGGCCAGCAGGTTGAGGGAGGTTCTCCTCCCCTCCTGCCCCATGGAGGCCACCTCTGGAGTATTTGGTCCAGTTATGGATTCCCCAGTTCAAGAGGGACAAGGAACTACTGAAGAGAGTCCAGCAGAGGCTACAGAGGTGCTGAGGGGACTGGGGTGTCTCTGGGATATGGAAAGGATGATAGCTCTGGGGCTGTTGAGCCTGGAGAAGACTTAGAGGTGATCTAATCAATGCCAGTCAAGAGCTAAAGGGCCTACAAGGGTCAAGAGTCTGGGGCCAGACCTTCCACACAGCACTGGTGAGGCAGTAGCCTTCAAGGGGAGGAGGGCAACCAACAGTCTGGCTGAAATGAAAAATTTATGTAAAGCTACGGTGTTTTCCACCTCCAAAGGAAAGTCTGACCCAAATTATCAGGAGCTGGCTGGTTTATGTTGGAACCTCTGTGGACAACACCACTGAACAGCTGTCCTTCCTCTGTACAGTGAGACTCATGTCCCTCTAAAATGAAGCTCATATCCAGAATTTGTGAAGGAATCCAGGAGCAGCTGATGTCCTGCGATGGTTTGGATTTTTCTAAGATACCAACGACCCCTTCCAATATGGTTTTGTTTTATTAAAACACTCAGACCAGCATTTGTTGAAAAAGCAAACTGCAGCAGAGGATTTTGGCCAGACTCTGCAGATCATTGTTTCATTTACAGTAAGATCCAGATTCCTTTTTTCTTTTTTTTTTTTTTTTTGTCAAGAACAGACATAGCGTGTGGATTATGTGAGGCTTTTGGCAGGTTTCTCAGGGCTTTTGTTTAAACTCTGCTGAAATGCCGAGCTCTAGCGGGACGTCAAGGCTGCCTGATGGATTGAGCAGACATGGAGCCCTGTCCAGGCACTGCACATATCGTGGATCCTCTACAGGAATCATATAGGACCTGGGAAAACTTTTGTGTTTTTGGGGAAAAGCCTGGAAAAGCTCATTTGCGGGCTTATTAACAAAAGCAATCTATTAGAAATCATCCAGCATCAGCTGATTTTTGGAGCTAATGTCCACCTTGGTGGGAGATTTATGTGCACAACTTCTTTTTCCTACTAAAAAATTGTCTCGAGCTTCCCAAAGGGATTTCACAGATGTTGTCCTCCTCGCGTGATAAACATCTTGGAAAGTAATTGGGGAGCAAAAGGGAGGTGAGGATTACGAGGCAGACAAAGCTTGTATCGAGCCTTCTCTTCTGGATTCATTTTCTGGATGAAGTTTTGGGGGATCACAGAATGATTTGGGTTGGGAGGGACCCCCGAAGTTCTGGTCCCTGTCATGAGGAGGGACATTATGTGCAGAGGGGATCCTGCCCCTCTGTTCTGCTCTAGGGAGACCCCCTACAGAGCTGGGGCAGCTCTGGAGTCCTCAGCACAGCAGAGACAGGGACCTGCTGGAGTGGGGCCAGAGGAGCCCCCTCAGTGACCCGAGGGGGGAACCCCTCTGCTGGGAGCCCAGCAGGAGAGAGTTGGGCTTGGGCAGTCTGAGAGGAGAAGACTCCAGCTGGGGAGACCTCCTGGGAGTCTTTTAGTACTTAAAGGGGGGCTATAGCAAAGATGAGGAGGGACTTTTTAGCAGGGCCTGTTTTGACGGGACAAGGGGTGAAGGTCTTAAATAAAAAGAGGGAGATTTAGACTAGAAAGAAGAAATTTTTGACACTGAGGGTGGTGAGCCCCTGCTCCAGGTTGCCCCAAGAGGTGGTTGCTGCCCCATCCCTGGAACCATTCCATGTGAGGTTGGCTGGTGCTCTGAGCAACCTGCTCTGGGTGCAGATGTGCCTGCTCCCTGCAAGGGGGGCTTGGACTAGATGGCCTTGTAGGGTCCTTTCCAATCCAAACTAGTCTATAATCTTCATTGGCTGCAGAACTCGAGTCAGATGATTTTTCTGGTTGTCTGAAAGAAGAAAAGGATCAGATCTTTTTCTAGAGAAACTGATAAAAGTCTGAATTTATTTTCTGTTACTCCACACCAGGCAGCTTTTGAACGAGCTCTCAACTCTGTAATTCCATTCTCATATGTCAGAGGAGGGACAAAAAGCCATGTTTTCTTGCTCTCGAGTTGGAAATGCTTCATTTTTCTTCAGCTGCTCTAACATAATACCCCAACATTACTGGAGAAGCAATCTCTGCCTGCCCTGGCTCCAGCCCAGTCCTTGCAGGAGCCCGTTGGCTGCCTGCTCCCCGCTGATGTTTATAGCCATGGCAGCCTTGCAGGTCATCCTTCACTGGCTCTGAGAACTCATCCAGCCCTCGCAGCATTGCTTCAACTTGCATGTGGCAATGAAGCCTTAAATCTGGATTTTGTTCCTCTAATTAAGATATAAGCTCCTACGGGCCGTGGAGCATTTTTAAAGAGAGAGAGCAGGTCTTGCATTTTAGCCCCAGAAAGCAGAACTCCATGAAATATGACTTCAAAGCATGACTGCCTGGGGACAAAAGAAAGAAATAAGCTGTGTTCTTCTCTTTGCTGCTCTGCTAGGACGGATTTTGTCTCTGTAGCACATTTTACTGGAGGAGGAAGCATGAGTTTGCTGCCAAATCTGGGACTCAGAAGCGTTTAGGTTCCTCAGGACTATTGCATTGGACTGGTTAGTAAACATCTGATACCCGTCTGCAGAGCACATGTCATTATGGTTCATGAACTTTCTCAAGTCCCACTGGCTTTTTTTTGCACTGTTCTTCAGATTACTCCGTGGTTTAATCCAGTAATTAAAGTACATGAACCACCAAGTTTCCTATCGCCCGCGTCAAATTGTAAATGGGTTACCTGGGATAAAAATATGGCCTTGGATGTCTTCAGAAATGTGCATTTGGTGCTTCAAGCCTTCACCAGAGGTGTTCTGAGCAGCTCTGGTGTCTGCATGGAGTCCTTCAGGTTGGATAAGCAGCTTGTTTGGACTTCACTGTGGCTCCTCAAGCAACATCTCCGTATCAGTCCATATCAACTAAAGATTTTCACCCAGACTTGCAAATTCTTTTACCATATTGAAATTTAGCAAAGAACAGTCAACAGCTCCAAGTATTTAGGTTTAACTTACATAGACTCTGAGTATTTAGGTCTAACTTACACATATGTGTATCACCAGATATTTTGGTGGAGAGGACATGCTTCTGAATTTCTCTGGGGGATATCAAAATAAGAGGACTCGAGCTAGTCAGGAAAGAGGCTTTCTCCAAATAATTCGTGGCAGGTACTGCTTACTTTGTCAACACCATTTACTTATTTACCTGTGTCTGTGTTGACACAACTTTTCTGCCAACTGGTTTCTGTTGGACCTGGTTAGGGCTTGTCCCCTTGCCAGGAACTGGAGTCTTTAGGGAGTAAAGATCAGGTGGTAATAGCAAAGTAAATATCAGGTGCTTCTCAAAAGCTTTCTTCCTCCTTCTAATTCCTCCCCATCCTGAAAACCACCAAGAACCCTTCTACTTGGTTATCTCCTCAACCGATGATGCTGTTTTGCGTGTTTATTGTGTAATTTGTACAACGTCATCTTGACAACGCTAAAAACTTGACTTATTTTGCTAACACAAAGTGTGGGAGGGAGGAGCTGCATCCAGAACAAAGTTCCTACAACTGGGAAGTTCCTACAGACGGGTGACTGAATGCAGAAAATCAGGTTCCTTTGAATACCATGGTGTCTGATTTCTGATCCTGGATTTAGGCACTGAGTTGTCCCCTCCCAATGGCCAGTGGCTTCTTAGACGTTGAATATTATCTCTGCAAGGCCTGCCAAAAGTGTTGTAGATATTTTTTAAAAAATAAATTGATACTTTTTTTAATCTATATAACTTGAAGAATAAAATGCGTGCATTTAAAATTTATACATCTACAATTCATGAAATCCTTAATGTTTGGAAGATATTTTTTAAAGTATTCCTGGAATAATCATTAAGCTCATGATTTTTTGTTTTAGGTGAAAGAAGAGATGCTGTTTGAGGCCCTGGTTACCAGAAAGACAGTGACAGTGGGAGAGAAGCTGATCCTACCATACAAACTAGCAGAGGTGTGTACATGGTGCTTGTTGTTACAAGGGCAACTCTTGGGACGGTTTTCAATGTGTTGAGATGTATGTTGAGCTCTGGTAGAGTTTCTTTTGTTTTTTCTTTATGTAAAAATAACGTGGGAGAAGCTAATGTGGATGAATCTAGAAAGCAGTTGACTGTATCTTCTGCACCATTCCTGGAAAGCAGATTTGCACTTTGTTCCATGACAGTCTAACTGTTTTAATGACTTTCAGTTGCATAAGTCTTCTTCAAAGCAGACTTGTGCGTCGCTGAATGGATTAGAGTCTTCATATGTTGTTCCTTAAACTGTAGCACTGATTCATCCTGCAGCAGAGTGGTGACTTAAGACCTCCAGGAAATCTTTTATGTGATCCTAAGTGCCTATGTTAGACATGGTTCTTTTGTGGGATGAGGTAGAGATCGTCTGTAGGAGATTCCCGTGATCGTTCCTGCAGATTTCTCACAACCTGGGTCCTTGCCTGATGCTCTGGAGCAACCACAACTCTTACCTGGATGCTCCTCCTGTTAAGCTCAAAGAATCTCTCTTGCCACCTAAAATGGCCAAGCATGCATTTCTCAAGTGCTTTCCAAAATGTTTTTGGGGATGTCTCTAATGAATCTCAGGTATTCACTTAGAAATGTTTGTCACCAATATCTAATACAAGAAATGAAAGGCCTCAGGATGTGGTGATTGTGGGGGCTATGGGGGAAGCCAAAGGAGCAGAAGGCTCTGGTGGGGAAGGCTGATGACAAAATAATTTTGTAAGTAGCTGTGAAAAGAAAACCTTTTTTTTTTTTAAAAAAAAAGCTGTTAAGAAAAGATAGGCACCACCTATATACTTTTTATTCGCTGTCCTTATAACACTGGCATCCTGACCACCAAATTTTATCTGACTGGTAGGAGGTTCACTCCTGACTTGCTCATGCCAAGCATCCTAGAGCAGAATTTCAGATGCTCTAAGCAGACCATGATGAGAAATCTTCTCCTGGTATTCCTGTGGCTCAGGGAGTAGGAGAAGTGACTTAGATTCAGAGCCATCTGAAGGAAGAGTAGGATTCACTTGACATTTTGGGGACCTGACCAAGAATACTGATGTCTGATAGTCCCTCTCATGACTAATTGGACTATGGGCACTGTTTGGAACCAACGGGCTGGTCATTCTGGTGTGTTGTACAAAAGAACATGATAGTTGACTCAAACAGATGGAGCGACTGAGGTTTAGAAGATTTTTCAGACACATCTGTCCCACCAGGACTCCTATAAGTCATAGGCAGCTTCCTTTCCTCTTAGAGCGAGGATGGATGTGGCAGCTACTTTATTTTTGCAGATGCTGAAATGTTTGATGGGTTTTGCATAGCTTGTTGATACACTGGAAGTTTCAGAGGAGTTTGTCTGGAAAAGATTGCAGTGGCTCTCAAAAAAAGCACATTTTGGCATGTATTTGCTTTCTCACATCATCAAGCAGCTTGGGTCCACCAAGAGCCTTCCAAGGCTTTGAACAATTCCATATAGGCAGCCTGCACAGTGTAGCAGTTCTTTAAAAGCAGAGCAAAAACTCAGCAAAAGAATGAATTCTAGGACATTTTATTTGATCTGAAACCTTTTGTCTGGAGTGTGAGTGGAAATTGTAAATTTTTGGGCTGTATGGGTGAAGTGGGAGTAAGTAGCACTGGGCTTCCACCTCCACCATCACTGCTAAGGTTGCTTGGGATAGTGGGAGAGTTTGTTGTTGAGGAGAGCATGTCTCCTGATGGAGCCATTGGCTCAGTAGATGAGGCACTTGCAGACCTGGCTTTTGTTGTCTTCTACCTCGTTATGAATTTTGAGTTATTAGCCTGGAGCTTGAAGTATGGAGCTTTAATTTGAAATAACCATTCTCATGTAAAAGATATTGAGACCTTAGATCTAGCATGGGTTCTTGATCTTTGGTGAGGTTCCTATGTGCACCTACTCCAGACTGAAGAGACACGAGTTCAATATGGGTGGTTGGGCTTGCCCATAGATCTTCAGCTGTTGCTTTGCCTTCTATGCTCTGCACAGGGGCAGACATTGGCTGATCCCTTTCATCAGACAGTGTTGGGACATATGTGAATGGCAACTCGATGGAGAAACACCTTCCATCAAATGGCTAATGCTGATGTGATCTGTAGCCTCAGCATCCTGCCATGACAATGGTCTTCAATGGGCAGAGGAGATGCAGATGACTTGGAGTAATCCTTTACTTCAGAGATTTGGAGGCATCAGAGCTGAGATTGGACTTTAGGAGACCAAGTCAAGCCTTTCCTGTAGCCCCAGCAGCTCTCAGAGAGGACCTCTTTGTTGGATTTGCAGTGACACCACACTCCTGCCAGTCTGCACGCTTGTGCTGGGCTGTTATTATGCCCTGATTAGAAACATTGGCCTGGGGTTTGGGGCTTTTTCTCCCCCCCTTTTTCTTCCTGAAACAGCAGTTTGAAGGCTTGGCAACTCCTCTTTTGAAACATTCTCCTTGATGAAAGTTGGAAATTTATATCAAGCTCTCTTCCTGGGGCTTGTTCTGCTCAACTTTCCAGTTATTTAGGTAAAAACAGATATTTTACGAGAGGGTAGGACCCCAAGAAAGCAAAAGTGTGGCCTTCTATCTACCCGCAGTTGTCAGTGCTCACATCTTCAGCTGAGCAAGTTCTCCGCAGCACGTAAAGATTTTGTTTTGCTGTGTTTCAGCCAGGAGGGTAGAAGATGTGTGATAGCAACACCTGCTTCAGCAGGGCTGGAGCCAGGAGCAGATAAACCCTTGGGAGCTGAGCTCCAATTTCAAGGTGCCATTGGTTGTTTCTTGGTGTGTAGTCAGCACCTGCCCTCAGCAGAGATTTTGGAACAAGAATGTCATTCTTCAGGAAGAACTGTGAAGTGTGATGTGCCACCAGATTTTTCTGACCATTCAGTAAGTCATGGTGGTTGTGTCTGACTGTGGTGTTAAGGTTTAAGTATTGCTCCATGTAGCTGGAGCTACTGGTGTTTCTGAAGTTAAGGAGAGGTTGTCAAGGATGGAACCCCTCTTCTGTGAAGAACGGCTGATAGAGTTGGGCTTGCTCAGCCTGGAGAGGAGAAGGCTCCATGGAGACCTCCTGGTGGCTTTCCAGTACTTAAATGAGCCTATCAGATGGTGACAGAGTTTTGAGCAGTACCTATTGGGACAGGACAAGGGGGGATGGTTTTTGAAACTCAAAGAAGGAGATTTAGACTAAAGAGAAGGAAGAAATGTTTGACACTGAGGGTGGTGAGCCCCTGGCCCAGGTTACACAGAGAGGTGGTCGCTGCCCCATCCCTGGGACCATTCCAGGTGAGGTTGGCCAGGGCTCTGAGCAACCTGCTCTAATTGCAGATGTCCCTGCTCCCTGCAGGGGGCTTGGATGACATGACCTTGAAAGGTCCTTTCCAACCTATGATTCTAAGGAGAGACCTGATTTTGGAGGTAAAAATCAACACTGCTTTGTAGTTGCAGCCTCTCCTTGCTGTGACACTGATGGCAAACATGAGCTGGGTTGTAGACCCCACACATCTGCAGCCCTGTGGGGAGAGCTCCACTCTTGGGCTGCTTCTCCAATGCTTGTCAAAACATAAACGAGCAAAGCCACCACGTCCATAAATAATGCTTAGATTTACTTCTGGCAGCTGCCTCTTATCTTCAGAGCCACGCTGGCTTGTCTGCTGCAGAGCTGCCTCCTGGAACCATTCATTTCTCCTTTTATAGTAGCTAGATGGGATTTTAATGCAGTGTTGGAAACGACTGTGTCATTTGGTTTAGTGTGAAGGTTTCGGAGCTTTACACTGCAGATAAACTTCAAAAAAAAGGCTCAGCAGACATGAAAGGCTGCAGTTGTGTTCAGAGGTCTCGGTTCCTTGTCCAAAACCAGCTGTCAATGTCTTTGTCAGGAGTGAGATGGGGTATTCATGGAGCTATCAGCAGTTAATAGATTTCCAGAGAAATCATGGTGTGTCCATGCAGGGTGAGGGCAGAGCCTGGGAGCAGTGAGCTGACCAAGTCCATATCAGTTAGCAAATAAAACACAGTGGTAAGGATCCTTCCAAAAGAGGAGACTGCAGGACTAGAGAAGGGATTGTCCTTCTGTACTCAGCACTGAGGAGGTCACATCTCAAATCCTGGGGTCAGGTTTGGGCCCCTCACGCCAAGAAGGACCTTGAGGGGCTGGCGTCTGCACGGAGAAGGGCAGCGAAGCGGCTGGGGAAGGGTCTAGAGCCCAGGTGTGGTGAGGAGCAGCTGAGGGACCTGGGGGTGCTGAGACTGGAGCAAAGGAGGCTCAGGGGAGACCTTCTGCCTCTCCACAGCTCCCTGACAGGAGGCTGGAGCCAGATGGGGGTCGGGCTCTTCTCCCAAGGAACAAGTGACAGGACAAGAGGAAACAGCCTCAAGTTGCACCAAGGGAGGTTGAGGTTGGCCCTGAGGAATAATTTCTTGCCCTTGAGGGTTGTGAATGGCTGTGCCAGGCTGCCCAGGGCAGTGGTGCAGTCCCCATCCCTGGATGTGTAGATGTTGTGCTTAGGGACATGGTTTGGGAGTGGACTTGCTAAAGTTAGGTAATGGCTTGACACGACGATCTTTTCCAGCTGAGTAGACCAACAAAGGTCTTTTCCAGCTAAACCAATGCTATGCTTCTATGAAGACATTAGCTTTTTTTTTTTTTTTTTTTTATGTCATGTCATTTCACCCTGACCTTCTTCATCTGGGATGAATTTCATGCTGATGAGCACAGGACACGTGGCATGTTCATGAATAACCATCACAAGATGGTCATTTTGGACAACAAGCTGCACTGCCTTAGTGGCTTAAGCTTGAGGAGAACACTTTTTTTCAGCATGGTAATGGTTAATTGGCAGAGACACAAGACAGAGAAGCCTCATGGAGCAGACCTTAATGAAGAGAAGCAAGGATTTTGTTATAGCAAAGAGCTGAGTGACATTTCATTAGGTTACAGACTAGTAATGGTCCTGTCTAAT